CTTTGAGGGGCATCGCCCATACCTACAAAATGAACCCTTGAAGCGGAAATCCCTCAACGTTGTCAATCTGTACATACAGTACATTCCAGTCAATTCAAGTTTCCTCCGAAGATTGTGTGAGAGGATTTCATAAAAACCAAGTGACGCGTTCTTCCGACGCTTGTGAGAAGAGACAAGGCATACCGAGTCACCTTGATTCTTTCAGAAAGTCTTTTCATTCAGTCATTCTCCGATTCTATAAAGAAGGAGTCTCCATGATGGCCGAGTTGTCGTAGTGGCCCAGTTGTCGTGGAGGCCGAGTTGTCGCTGAGGCCGGGTTGTCGTAGTGGCCGAGTTGTCGTAGTGGCCGAGCTGTCGTAGTGGCCGAGTTGTCGTAGTGGCCGAGCTGTCGCCGAGGCCGAGTTGACGCGGTCCGCCTGGTTAGCGCAGCGCTACATGTGCTGCTCAGAGCGGCAGTACGCCGCCGACGAGCGCCGGCTCACGGTGGGCACCTCAGAGGTGCCCGACGTCTTGTGGCCGCCCGTCCGACTCGAAACGTCGTGCCCCGCGGGGGAGCACGTAAGGCGGTGCGCCACGCACGACCACGTTGAGGTCTATCCGGCGCTCGCCCAGCGCGAGGCCGAGATAGAAACCTATCTCGTGTAGGCCATGGGCCTGCTCGCTCTGTCGCGGGAGAGCCGTCAGGCGGCCGAAGAACAATAAAAAAAATTTCTTCTGATTTGTTGGGTGTTTCTTTCGTCGTTTGGTTTATAGCGGATCTCAGGGATGTCGGGTGTATGGCTTCAGGCTTCTAGGGGGTATAGTTTGTGGATCGGACGGTGGAAGACTTGGCCCTTGGCTGTTCTGATTGTACAGGATCGGGCCTTCTCGGGTGGGGTATTCTCTGGGAATGAGATGACTCGGCATAATGGCCAGAAGGCTCGATTGTATGATTCTCCTCGGAGTAGGCACACATCGTCGATTTTCAGGGGCCTTGCCGCGATCGGAGTTTGCTTGTGGGCTGTTTTCAAGTATTGAAGGTACTCATCGTGGTAACGCTTCCAGTAAGAACTGAGGATTCTCTGTTGGTATTTCCATCTCCTGGAGAATATGATCTTGTCTGCGTCCGCCGCTTTCCTGGGTTTCGATGAGTGTTCCGGAATGACCGTTCTCCCCTTATATCCGAAGAGGAGATCTGCCGGAGATAGAGCTTCGATATCATCCGCTCCTGAAGCTACCGTAGTTATCGGTCGACTGTTAACCATCGCTTCGATTCCGCTGAGGATTATTTCTAAGTCTCTGAAGTGAGGGACTGCGGATCCTAGGATTTTTCGAAGTGGTCGCTTGATGGTCTGGACCTGCCTTTCGTAGAAGGCTCCGAAGTTCGGTGCCATCGGTACGATGAATTTCCAGGAGATCATCAAGTCTGATAG